CAACCAGGACGTGAGTGCGCCAGCTTTAATCGGCTCTATTCGGTTAATACGAATTTCGAAAGCACATACACCTCGACACGCGATACACAGACGACAGTGTAATGAATATTTGCTCGGGGATCATCGTAGTCGATACATCCCTTGTAATATTGACTGATAGTTCCATGCAACTTTGTTCCGCGTCGTGAGATATTTCGCATAAATCCTCCGTGAACTGTCCCAAAATTTAATGCGGAAAGAAATATAACCGCATTTGCATTATACATACATATATACTACATAACATTAACATCCGCTCAACCATCGTGTACAATTTTGCAACATGAAGAAGTATTTTCGTTTCAACGTTTCACGAATATCGGTAGCAATCTCAGACGGAAATAGCAATAAAATTATTAGTCTTGTAAGAACGGCTATCGTTGAGACCGGAATAATAAAAAACAATATCGATAAACAGTAAAACTATGGCATTTTGAAAGAAAGGTTTTAAATTTCTGCGAGAGAACAATTTATTATTCGAGTCGTCGATTTAAAATTTGGCACTAATTGAAAAAGGTCTGGTTTTCAATTTATTATTTGAGTCGTCGATTTAAAATTTGGCACTAATTGAAAAATGTCTGGTTTTCAATTTATTATTCGAGTCGTCGATTTAAAACTTGGCACTAATTGAAAAATGGCTGGTTCCAGCAAGAGGTAGACATGCGCTGAATCTAATCGCGAAATTTCAAATGGATTCAAGAATCCGTTTTTGAAATATTACGATTACCATTTAAAGAAAAAATACTGTGTCGAGAAAAACGCATTTAAAGTTTCATGTACATATTTTTTTTGTATATAAAATGTAATTTGTGACTCTTACAGCTATTCCTGCGGGTTATTTTTACGAAGCTCATTTTTATCAATTGAAAAAAAATCGAATCGCGAAATTTCAAGTGGATTCAATCGTCCGTTTTTGATATTACGATTACCATTTAACCCTTTCGTTACCTTGGACGAGATATCTCGCGACCCGGTAGTAGCCGATCAACGCTTTCGACGAGATATCTCGCTATCCGGTAGTAGCTGTATTTATTTCTTCCTTTTAGCTATACGAATAGAATTAGTTATAAAATATATTCATCTAGAATGTCAAAATATTGGTGCTAGAAAGCTAGATTATCGTCAAAAGCGTTAATCCGGTACTACCGGATCGCGAGATATCTCGTCAAAAGCGTTGATCGGCCAGTATCGGGTCGCGAGATATCTCGTCAAAAGCGTTGATCGGTCAGTATTGGGTCGCGAGATATCTCGTCCAAGGTAACGAAAGGGTTAAAGTCGTCAAATAGGTATTTTCCTGCAACATCGGCGAAATGTAACGGGCTAGATTGGTACTTGCTTCATGACCGCACTTGACGGCATAGATGAAGCCGACACAGGCTTAAGTGTCTGATTGACACACATGTACGTCTCAATGATACACACATTCAGCTGTCTAATGCACAGCCAAGCCAATCAAGATGCAAAGTGAGCTTTAACAGGCTCCACTTGACTCGGGCGAAATGCCGGATAGTGTCAGAGAACATGTTTGGATGTGGTTTGAGGACGAAGACGTAATGAGTATTTGCTTCAGGATAATCGTCATCGACGTTTCGAGCTCAACTACGTTTTACATACCCATACTGATTGAATTGCACGTAGGATTTAAATTTATTAACGATAGCTTCCAAGATGGATATTTAAAAAGAACTGGAGTTTCGGGGGACTGTTCACTTGGAAATTGATGAAAAAGATTTCTTTCCTTGAGAACCGATTATCGTTGACTTCACATGATAAAAAACAATGCGATTCGGTAACAAGTGACGTCCGGCCTTAAAAACGATTATCTTTTACAGACCGATAAATTAAAATGTTTAGTGTATCGAATTATATGTTGTATGTTTCCATTCGTTGTGCAATGTATAAAACTTACCCTATTGCGGATAATATATGAGAGTATGAGGATGTAATTAAAAGTGTTATATACAGCATGGGTACTTTGGGCGGGCTATGTGAAATGTAATTTAATATGTGAGGAACATTTCAGGAACTAATTCACCAGTGAAACAATGAAATAAGTTCGTCCGAACGTAAATCCAGTTTAACCTGGTTTCCAAGTTACCGTGAGTTTTGTTTTCTTACAAACTGTTACTATTTACCTTCATAAGAGGCACGGAAACAAAATCAAACTGGAGATAACAAATCTTGGAAGTGTCTCGAAGATATTGAATCATATTTTGTATGGATAATTGTTTTGAACTAACGACAGCAAGATCGACGTAAAAGAACCATTCTTACCACAGTCCTTCACCTTGATGTGAGGTCGCCCACAACATCATTCTTGCGAACCCATCCCTCAGCGCAACCATTACCATTCCATGAAGCACATTTTCAAAATTCAAGTATTAGGTTGAGGAATAAATATAAAATTCACACATTCCTAAAACTTTATCAAGTTGCTGATCAGCATGCACTAAGTTCCACACATTGTTAACAAGTTAGACGTAAAAGAACCATTCCTACCACAGTCCTTCACATTGATGTGGGGTCGCCGATAACATCATTCTTGCGAACCCATCCCTCCGCGCAACCATCACCATTCCATGAAGCACATTTTCCAAATTCAAGTATTAGGTTGAGGAATAAATATAAAATTCACACATTCTTAAAACTTTGTCAAGTTGCTGATCAGCATGCACTTAGTTCCACACATTGTTAACAAGTTAGACGTAAAAGAACCCATTCTTACCACAGTCCTCACCTTGATGTGAGGTCGCCGACAACACCATTCTTGGGAATCCGTCCCCCAATGCAACCAGCCACCCACTGGCCTCCCCCTGTAACGCAACCCACTATTACGCTTAATTCCACATATTGTTAACAAGTTAGACGAAAAAGAACCATTCTTACCACAGTCCTTCACCTTGATGTGAGGTCGCCGACAACACCATTCTTGGGAATCCGTCCCCCAATGCAACCAGCCACCCATTGGCCTCCCCCAGTCCAACCAGCCACCCACTGGCCTCCCGCTGTAACGCGACCCATTATTACGCGGGTCCCGTGCAATGTTCTTTCCCGTCACACGAGTCGTGTTTACATTGACCGTACACGGATAATTTGGATGTCGCGTGTGGCGCGGATGTTCGCGATGTACATCTGGTACATGTTGGCATGCGACCATCTTAGGCGGAACGAAGCGAAGCGGAGCATGAGTGCTTTAATCGACACCGCTCGGCTGTCGTGAAATTCCTGGAATGCATGCGAGCTGGGTTGTACACGTCGGTCCTACGGGGAGTAATGGACGTTTGCTCAAGGATAATCGTTCGGAGGGTATTACGATGACAAATAGAGGCGCTCGTACGTCGCGGGCTAATTATCGGCGGCCGCATTACCATGCTCGTGATTGCGCGGCGCCTCCACCTTCCAGGATGGATACCAGTTAACGCGATGCTTCACCGATTCAATTTTCATTCCTGCCCTGTCCGAACTTCCCGGTCGATTGTCTACCGCCTGAAACGCCGCGCGTTATCATTACGTTATCAGGACGACGTGCCGAGTGCGCACCGAGTGCTCCGTAATTTCGATTGCTCCTCCTGGATCGGCGCTTTTCACTTATTGCTCGAGACACGGAACGAGCACATGCGTTTTTAATTGGAATCCCACAGCAATTAGAGGAAGCTCTGAAGTTGTTACCTCGCCATTATTGATGATGTATTTTTCCTATCTTGATGGTCTTGATGGACGTGTCGAGGTGGGTCTGGTAATTGAAGTTCGCGATGGGGCTGAAGAGCTGGACTGCTCAAGTCAGCTTGGTTTGGATGGTTGTGGAATTTCGGATTTTATTTTCATCGATTTTAATTGATGAACTCGAAATCTTGGACGCTGAATAGTTACGTTAATTAAGAAAATGAAATTAGGAAGATGGAACTACGTTTCAATGAAAAGAGGTTCAAAGTGGCTTTTCACGGTGACAAGTTACTTGCACATTCTTTTGAACACTTGTTTAACATCATTTCCAGGCATGTAACTCATCATCATCGTGATCATTGTCATTTTGACGTCTTGATAAGTGCCGCAATTTGATGGAAGTACTGTCAAGTGCTCCAGGTGAAATGTATTAGCTTGAGGAATAAGTTCCTGTCGTTTTTAACGCAACATAACCTAATTAAAACGGCGGGAACTTATTCCTCGATCTAATATAATTTGGATCTGGAAGATACTTCAGCGCTTCTGTGTCTTCACGTAATCAATGGAAATATGAGATGAACTCAATTTTTCAAAACATTTCTGATCGTACTGCATTGCTCGACGCTGTTCAGGACGTTTTTAAAAGTTGGGGTGGAGGAGAAAAGGAGCCATTATTCTTATTCGTGAATGTAGCAGAAAGCACTGGAACTTATATTTTCCGGCGACAGTAATTGTTTCTAAGTCTCTTTTCCTGTCGGACTCCAGACAAAAAGTGAAAAAAATCGTGGGGCATTTAATAATTGTCGACAACTCCCTTTTAAGTAGTAAAACATGTCGGACAGTCATCTTTAGATGCTCATGCAGTGGGTCGTCTCATAAGTTTGTGCCGTTTCCTTCTTTGCAATTAAACAAATTTATTTTAAGAAGTAAGGTTAAACAGTGTTAATCAATAGCACATTCCATTTCGTTCTTCACAAATTTTTCCCAATTTGCGAGCAATTTTTTAGTTCCTCACTTGAAAAAAGTCAGGATACAATTTTGAATAAAACGATACGAACTTATGAGCCAACACAATATGCTACATAAACCTCGTTTTTAGTCATACAGTAAATACCTATAATTAGTTACAGAGTGATACATTAAACCTATAACTTTTAGCAATTAATAACTTATAAATCATAACGTAGTAAAAAAATGAATAAAAATAGCCAGTGCAATATAATTGTAAATACATATTTTGTGAATGTCATATTCGGAATTTCCGAGATTAATAAGTTTCTCCTTTTTTCTGTTCTTAGGAAAGCTGAGGAAAAACTACGGAAACAATATCATTCAGGGAAACCAAGATATGTTGAAAGAACGTGGTAAGATTCCCGAAAATTATTTCCTCGTTAATTAACTGTTTAGCAAAAGAGTTGTGTAATTATTTAGTTACCCGATTCTTTTCTCACTTTCGAAGATGATTCTCTGTTATGAACGCAAAAAAAGTGTATTTCAATTTGGACAGCACGAAAAACACGAAGAAGGAGTTAAAATAATGACTCAAACGAGCATGCGCATGCCATTTCGCATATTAATTACCACGGAGTCTGAAATAGGATTTAACAACGATGTTAATACACTCAATGTACCTTGCCTGTCACGAGAGAGGAATTAATGACTAAATAATGCATTTGTACACTCTTGAAAAATGTTCACAATGACCTATAATTATTGTATACACGAAGATAACAGAAGGCTAAATCTATAACATTAAAGTTAAACATTTTTCAAATTAATAATTAGGTCTCCTTCAGCTAGATAATGAGAAATGTACTTCAAGTTCTAAATTCATACAAAATATGTGCATTTCAATAGAAAACTACACTTCAATAGAAAACTGTCGGTTTTTACACAACCATAATCTGCATACCATTGTTACATAATATACACATACTTAAACAGGATTAAAAAATCATCTTCCAAAAGAAATCCTGTGATTAAAATGTCTCAACACAACTACACCTTATAGGAAAACGTATTAGTCATCACTATGAATTAATAAATCGGTCGTTCGGCTGGGAAATTAATTAAATGCGTTAATTAGATACGTTGTAATCTGGGTGATAGATTTTAACAAAAGATTTGGCTGTTTCTTTCAGACCTCAAATTGCGAGGTCGCAAGGAAAACGGAGACGACGAGGACGAGGATTACAGCGACTCGGGGGCATCGTTTACAAGAGGTTGTCCGAGTTTAACCCTTACAGCAGTTGTTCTGATCCTGTGTCTACATCATCATCATCCTCAATTACGTAGGCTACATCCCGCCTGAGAAGATCGTTGATCCTCTTATCGCAACTAATCGATCCACCGGACACTCGGTTGGTTTTAATTGCGTCCGTATCTGTACATTTGGAGCTTGAGGTCCCAACTCGCAGACCACCACAACAACAACGATACCACTTCTTTGTAAAGTACCGATCAATTCCCACAAAGTGTGTCAACTAGTCCGCAGTCGATGACTGCACAAATGTCAAGTCCAAGATTGGAGAACTGCGAAATTAGAACGTTTGTATAGTTAAACGGAAAGGGACTGGTGTTGGTCAAGAACAGTGAAGAGCCTGATGAGGCATCAGCAGGGTGTTAATGATGCGACAGGTGATTCCGCTAGATCCGCAAAGATTATACCGGGAAGAGATGGGTTAATTGCATACTGATTATTTTCCGTCTGTTAATTTATTTATGCCTCATCTTCTACCACACTATACGATCATCAAGTTCCTGGTGAGTGAAGAACTCATAATTTAGTATCGAAGATTGTTCTAGTAGTGTTCAACTAGTCCGCAGTCGATGACTGCACAAATGTCAAGTCCAAGATTGGAGAACTGCGAAATTAAAACGTTTGTATAGTTAAACGGAAAGGGACTGGTGTTGGCCAAGAACAGTGAAAAGCCTGATGAGGCATCAGCAGGGTGTTGATGATGCGACAGGTGATTCTGGTAGATGCGCAAAGATTATACCGGGAAGAGATGGGTTAATTGCATACTGATTATTTTCCGTCTGTTAATTTATTTATGCCTCATCTTCTACCAAACTATACGATCATCAAGTTCCTGGTGAGTGAAGAACTCATAATTTAGTATCGAAGATTGTTCCAACAAGGCACAAAGCTCAATTAATGCAGGTCTAACCAAAACTGCGGGGGAATTCAATTCCGTGTTATAATAATATCCTGAAATTGTCATTCGGTTATCAAATATATCCAAAATTAGTCATTCGTCGTTACTTATTTTGGGACCCAGCTAGGTTCTTGATCAACGAGCTTTCTTGTAAATACGAGATGAGGAAATTCGAAGATAGATTTGCGATCCGAAGATCGCAAGAATTGGACACTCCGGTGGATCGCGAAAGGTAACGAAAGGCTTGGTGGAGGATTACAAGTGAAGTAAACTCACTATGAGAGTTAGTACTTACAAATGTACATAATATAGTACAGACATTGATCGCAGTTCGCAATGTCGAGGTGCAAACCAGGTAACGAGAGCATGAACGCGTGCGTTTATGGACACAATTATGTAGAATAAAGTGTACTAGTAAGACATGTGTATATCCTTTAAGAGGCTTACTGATATAAACACTGCATTTTTCATGCCTGTACAGATTCGATCGTAAGTTACTAAGAGCGCATAAGCTAGGGTTATTGTCATGGCTGCGTTGTTACACCTCAAACGAGAGACATGATGAGAGATAATAATTTTAAAACTGATTAACTCCTGTATCTAATCTGAGATTAGACTCCTGAAATGGACTTCGTGAAAAGAGCTTACGTTCCTTAAGGTGATATAAAAGTGGGAATATACATAAAAAAAGTCAAAATAATTATGAAACTTTTATCCACACTAGGTGCACCGAATTATCTGAAACCTTAACACGTGATTATGGAGGCCCTATGGAATAACGCGCTGCTTATGAAATTTATTTGTTTGAAAAAAATGTTGTACTTATCTCAGACAAGAACCAAAGAAAGATGTTTTTTTTTATGAATATGAAATTTCACGAGCAGCGCGCTTTTCCTTAGAGCCTCCATAATCACGTGTTAATGTTTCGGATAATTTGCTGTACCCAGTTTGGAGAAAAGTTTTATCAATATTTTGACTTTACGGTATGTACATATCACACTTTCATATCACCTTAATGGAGGTAAAGTATTTACAGTGAAGGTTGAATGGGTGTATTCATTTTGCTTTCAACGAAAGTTTGCGTGGTCTAAAAAGTATGATTTAGCGTTACCACGTAATGCCAAGTCGTACATTAAGAGACTAATCGATTTTAGAAACATCAATTTGTGAGAAAAATTGAATGTAATCATTCTTTGGGTTAATGGGACTTTCTTCATGTTGATAATGTAAATTTTATCGTAAGCTAGGATTACTGCCATACCTGCGCTGTTACATCTTAAAGGGAAACAGATTATAATTTAAACACAGATAAACATTTGCGTTTATTTTGCAAATAATGGATATGCAAATTGGTAGGAAGTAAATTTATAAAAGAAAGAGTCATGAGTCTTAAGACCCTTATTATGTTTTTGAATATAACAATTTTCGTTATAACCTTCTGTTGAAAAATGTATAATGAACGAGAAGAAATAATTATCTTTTTTTAATCACAAACCACAAAGATAATCCCATTACGTACCCAATAATGTTATATATGCATGTACTATTTACGTCAAACGTAAGTAAATTTGCTGTACATTAAATGTATATAACATTATTGCAGACAATATTGGGTCGGCTATAGCTACTGATTTGTAAACAGACAGCACAAGAATCGAGTAATACTTAATTGTTAATTAACTGGCGATACCGATGAAAGACTTAAACGTGACCAAAATGTAATTATTGCTTGTTACACCCAAACGTAGTTAAAAATAATTCTCGGGGATTTCATAATTCTAAAGGAATAATGCTGCGAGTACTTTCAACCGTTTAAAGCCCTGACAATGTTGAAAATTAATTTATGGAATACACGCGACATACATAACAAATGAAGATACGGTACGAATGACAAGAAATTTACCAGATCATGCAAGAAGATAATTCGTTTAATTCACTTACGACCTTGTTACATCTATTAAGATATATTGACGTAAGTGAAAATCTTGTTTCTTTAGGAAAGCAAACATTAATTCCATTCTAATGGAATAAAATGAGAACGAGGCGCCAGGGACTTCTTTATTTCTAATTATCTTCTTAATTCGGTGGTAATGGTTTAATGAAACACGTAGGAGAAAAACTCATGCAAGATCCAAATATGCAATTAGCCCGGGAAGGAAACCAATTTGCATGCTTCAGGACTTTAAAAAGCAATATTCCTGACGGAGTATCGCAGATATTAAAATGTACAAACTAAGATTAACATATAATTTACATTCGATTTGCTTCTTGATAAGTCATTTACAATTAATTAGGGGAACTGAGGATATTCGGCCTGAGTTTAAATAAATAATATGTATACTATATTCCTTTCACGCGTTACGCATCAATTTTTCAATATGACCTTAATTCATTTTTTATTTTCGTTTATCCCTTGGTTGTAAAAGAAAAAAAAACGAATACTTTTTTAATTCTCACGCCAGGAGAGCAGTTTAGCCAATGTGTTGTAATATATTTTAATGCGAACGCGTTTAATTAATTTACTTAATAAATAATTGGAGTCGATTGCGCAGATAGAGTCGCGGAAAAATAATAATAAAGGGAAAACTCGGTGGCAGAATTTAGACCAGTAATCCGGTGATGGAAGCGATTGAAATACAGCAAGCAGAAAGAAAAGCAAAGACAGCGAAAGTTATGAAAGCGGGGAAAGAAAAATAGAGGAAATAATAAAGCAGACGATGAGAAAAGAGCACAGGAAATTAACCTTTTGTCTACCACGCAACTTGATTGCCCTCCAAGGAGAGGTGCCATCTTGACACTCCAAGTGTTAATTGATACTAATTCAAGATTACTTTTTCAGTGATCGTTAATTGATCATTTGCTTACTTGGCAATTTTCCTTCACATTCCGGACATTCCCAGAATAAATATAATTTAAAGAGAATTTACTTCTCCTTTAATATTGTAATTCAGACCGCCACGCGATTTGTTACACCTTCAACGTAAAGAGGAGCTTAATCCAAATGTTACGTCCTGAAAAAATTGAAAACTCCGCGCCATCGGCAGTCAGGGTGTCCAAAAACAAAATATCACCTCCATGCAATTCGTAATCTCAAAATCACATTATAAAAAAATTATAGAAAGCCTTGGAAAATATAAAAGAAAAGAAACGAAAAGAACTGGGTCGTACATCAGCAGTTCTTTTGGATTATTCGATAAGCCAATATGCAATGCAAAACATGTCGTTTGTTATCCAAGTTCTTATCTCATTCTGCAGAATTCACTGGAAGTACGCAGACAATAATATTTTATTTATCTTGAAGACATGTTTGAAGACGTATGTTCTTCCTTGGACAACGATGCAACATCTTCCCATTGCCTATCCTACTTGGCATGATTTTGGGTGATTATTTCCTTCATACGTGCGAAGATTCAGAGTCTAAATAAATTCCAGATCATTTCTACATCACTCCCTTCCCTAATATCGGGAAAAAAGACGAAACGGATTTAGAACAGAGTTGTTTATTGCTTTATCCAAAGATAGGCGTCAGAGGGTTAAAAAAGGATGTGCCATTTCCAACGTCAGGCAACGGTCCTGGATGGATTCCTAGTTGAACGGGAGCTTGTAAAGTGTCAAAAGTGAAGCTAGATTAAGGGGGATCTCCAGCGAAGTATAAGCGGTTTATTTGCGCCGTGGCTCACCCTCCATTCAGAAAAACCACCTCACTCTGCCATGGCACACTGAATGCGTCACGAATCCTGACGGAGTGACGGACGCATACTCGGCTTATTCGATCGCATTCATTTGCTCGTCCAACTGTCAGGAATTACGTATCACATTATTTCCCCTTGAGGATCCACTTTCGCGTTTCGCCTCTGCGTTTCATCTTGGCGCAATTTTCCATCGAGCGCAACTAGCGTCTCAATTTTCTATGGGATATTTTCTCTTTTCTTTTTGTGAATAATTACTAAATTCTTTAAAAAATGTATGCAAACTATTTTGGACGGGAAAAGTGGATTTAGGTTTAGGAAAAGAAGAAGATGTTACGAACCCCGACGAAATAACAGACGCATGTTCGGGTTATTTGATCGTGCTCATTGTTCTGCAACAGATACTAATTGCGTTTCACATTATTTCCACTTAAGAAAATCCCCTTAGTTTCATTTCGGCGTAA